GATAAGGGAAACGAGCGAGTGTGGCTACTCGATAGCCTTAGCACGCTAGTTTTGCCTTCTAATCAAAGGGAAAATCGAAGTCGAAAAAGTTAGGAGTCATTCCCATACCCGACCTGATGCATTCCTTTAGGTTCATTCATTCTCATTTATCACTTACTCATTTTTTTCCAATTCACATTTCCTCATCACTTTTCCTTTCCTTATTGTTCAATTTGATTTCTACTTCACAAAATTGCACCTAATTACATCTATATGCACTTATCACTATATTTCATACACTTGCACACAAACACTTGGATTTTTTCATACAATTTCACACATGCACCTTTTCATACACTTGCACACAAACACTTGGATTTTTCATACAATTCACAGTTCCGCTTTTTATACATCTTGCCACACTTGAGTTTTAGCCATCATTGCATTAACGACCTCTATAGGTTTCCTTTATGGCTGCACAATTCATGTGGTATGGGAGCGCAAAAACCTTAACAAGAGACATTTAAGAATTTAAAGGGTTTGGCATTTTTGTCCTGTCTTTTTGCATTCATGTAGTGCATCCAAATGTAATAAATTTTTTGGTTAAAACAAGAAAATCTTTGATTAAATCATGCAACTAGCCTTGGCTAGGTCAAAGGGGTGCCTTGGATTTTATCCTTGCCTTCCCCTTTGTCAAATGTGACTCCCGAACCTTTTTCTTTGGTTTACGTAGACTAGGAGTCGTTTAAAAAGGGTTTCTCACTACTTTTTCCTATTTTTCTTAAAAAATACATTTTTTTAGGTGACTTGGTACACCTTAACTCATTACCAAGTGGCGACTCCGTATTTAGTTTTAAAAACCCTTTTTAAACTATAATTTTGGGTCAAATCGTCGCATTCTCAAAACCCCATTTAGACCCATTTTTCTTTTAAATCACGATTCATTTTCCAATCACAAAAAATACATTTTTAAACCATTTTATTTATTTATCAAAAAATGGGGCGCGACAATGAGCACTGACCTCCTTTAACAAAAATTTTAAAATGGGACTGACCCAAGCGAGCAACTTAAAACGGGACTGACCCGAACAAGAAATTTAAAACGGGACTGACCCAAACAGAAATTTAAACGGAACTGACCTGAACAGAAAATTAAAAGGGACTGACCCTAAACAGAAAATTAAAACCGAGGGGACTGACCCCAACATGAAATTTAAATTCGGGACTGACCCGAGGCCAGTGGCAGTGCAAAATGAAAGGCTCACTAGTGGGACTGACCCAACGGCTAGTGGCAATGATAAATAAAATGCTGGTATGTGTGAAAAAACTGCATAAGACTTGCTCGAGAAAATATCCAAAGATTTGCCCCAAGATAATGAATTGGTCAGTGGGATTAAACCCGAACCTGCCTTGATTAGCGGGATAAAACCCGGTCCCAACGTGATATAAGCGGTCAGCGGGATAAAACCCGGTCCTGCCGAGGTTGGCGGGATAGAACCCAGTCCCAACGTGATATATGCGGTCAGCGGAATAAAATCCGGTCCTGCCGAAGTTGGCGGGATAGAACCCGGTCCCAACGTGATATAAGCGGTCAGCGGGATAAAATCTGGTCCTGCAGAAGTTGGCGGGATAGAACCCGGTCCCAAAGTTCATTGGTCAGCGGGATAAAATCCGGTCCTGACGAGGTATAAGCGGTCAGCGAGATAAACCCGGTCACTGCCGAGAATTGGCGGATGGGAAGCCCGGCCGCCAAAGTGTCAATTGGTCAGCGGGTTAAACCCGGTCCTGACGAGATATGGCGGGATGAAACCCGGTCCCAACATTCATTGGTCAGCGGGATAAAACCCGATCCTGTCGAGATTGGCGGGATGAAACCCGGTCCTAACATTCATTGGTCAGCGAGATAAAATCCGGTCCTGCCGTTCATTTAATCAAAAATTAAATGTGATTGTCAAGATGGGGATAGAAGGGTGCACGGTGGACGTTGAAATTTCGCCAAAAAAGAAATTTAATTTAATTTTCCAAGAAACAAAAATTTAAACTTGATTTGATTTTTTATTTGGATTTTTTTTTTGATGAATTTTTTATTGATGATGATGATTTTTTTTTTTTGAATTTTTGATATTCGGGAGAATCTTTTCAAAAAATGATTTGCCTCAATTTCAATTATTGTGTCAACGATTTTTCGATCTACTTTATGGTATTATTGCTTTTCCTCAAAACTTTGATTCAGTCCCTTTTCACAGCTCAAACCATGAATATTCAATTCTTGGACGACATCTCATAGTTCAAAACTTGCTCCAGTTTCGTTATTTGAAACAAGCATAGACCTGCAAAAGAAATAAACAAATAATGCTACCACCATCCGATCAATTTCTCCTTCAAGAAATGTGTAAACATGAGTACTTTGATGTTTTTCCCTTGATACTTCGAAAACTCAACCTTGCTCTGTGATCTGATCAAATTCCATTGACTTCTAATGCTAATAAGGCCCTTGGTATCCAGAGATTTTCAATAAATCAGGGGGATTGCCATCTGATGAACCCAAAGAGATAAATAAGACCATGAAACATGATGAAAGAACATTCTATTTACACAACAAATGATGAAAATTTTTGTAACATGAAAACAATCATTTATTTTTATTGAAAGAAAATTAATTTTAAAGAAATGAATCTATAAATTCGACAATTTATGCTTGAAAAACCAAAGTATTCCGATTTCAAACAAAATGCCATGCTTGACCCTTTAGATATCATCCGCCCTGAGTTCAATGTCGGCAACAGAAGAACCACAATGCGAGGAGGAATCCCAAATGAATCGAATCACCAGCTTTCTAATTCCAACCTCACTTTTCCTCATGAAACTCTACCTTAGCGCCATTTTCAGGTTTTCACTAAGGCTACTCCCACTTTTGTGTTTGTTGTTGTTGTTTTTTTTCTTTTTCTTTTTTTTTCTATTTTTCATTCTTTTGCTTTTCTTTTCTTTCTTTTCTTTTTCATTTTCTTTTCAAAGATGCCCTTTTCGGAATTTCACCTGATGAACAAATCTTGCCAATAGCCTTTATCAACTCAAAAAATGTGTTTTAAGAAATAATGGCATCAGTGCGACAACCCCTTCCCTTACAAAATGAGTGAAGGCGTATTGACATCATTTGCCATGTGACTTAGAAAATTTCCTTAAAAGAGGTGATGCCAAGAACGGAAGCCAAGACTTTTGGTTTTTGTAATGGGATCTGGTGAGGTGTTAAGAAAAGGTTAAGGTTTGAAGGCAGATTTCTGAAAGTGGTTTAAATGTCCTGAGATCACATTATTGTAACATCCCTATTTTAGGGCTAAACCAAAACTTGCCCCAGTCTATTTTCAACTGAGACTCTTTGTCCTTTCATTTTCCTTCCTTTCTTCTGTCATTCCATTCATCTTTTGAAATATTCACAATTTGTCCCAGTTTATTTTTTCAACTGAGGTTTTCTTTTATTCATTTCTTTTTCTTTCGGCTTTCTTTTGAATATTGGATTTGAACCAGTATAGGGTTCTTCTTTTCTTTTCCAAAACTACATTTGCCCCAGTGTGGGGTTTGCGATCTTCAGGGGTTGCCAAATGAAGCAATTTATTCTGAAGGCTCAAAAGGGATGACTAAAGATAAAATGTCTCAATGGGAAAGAAAGAAGGCCTGACCTTCATTCCATTCTTTGCATTAACCCTTGAAAGGAACTTTCATTTATCAGATGAAAAATTTCTTACACACATATCCGAATTGATCGGTTGAGAGAAAATTTGTCCACTCCATTTCTGCGAGAACTAATACTCTGCCATGCAACACCTTCTTGATAATAAAAGAACATTGCCCATTCGCGGTGAACTCTTCTTTTGGCTTTATCTCATGTCGACAAAAGCTACCTCAATGCTTTATTTCTTTGGGCCATTCTTTTTTGACAGCAGTGACAATGACAAAATGGCATTCCGATGCTTCTTATCAAGTGACCACTGAAATCGTGATCCCACTTCAGCTTGCGTTTCTCTTTATACCATTTGTGTTCCTTTGAAAACATTCTCTGATGTCCAAATTCTCTGATGTCCCCTCATTTTGAAATCCAAATTCACATTCATGAAATATAAAATTTCGGAACAGTGATATCCAAAGGGTCAGAGGATTTTATTCTTGGCCATCTGAAAAGAATAGGTAAGTAATACAATATATAAAACTGTATATTTTAAATTTCAAAGGAAGGGCAACACGTCATAATACGCTATTTAACATAAGATTTGTATTGAAATGACATTTGAGTTAAAACTATTTACAAAACGAAAATGTAAATGATGAACAATGCAAATGATTTCTCCCATAATTCATAATCAAAGGCAATCCCCTAGATTTACCAAAATTCCCTTCGGGAGGGAATGTGATTTGCAATCCAGTTTTAAATGGCTATGTCAAGCACAAAAGGCTTCTGGACTATTTTGATTACTTCATTCTCCACCACAATGTATTTGGTAGGCTGCTCAAACTCCTCTTCAGTGATAATGGCCGCTATAGTATCCTTGTGCGCAGGAAAAGGGTTTTCGCTGACACTTGGTCCTTGTTCATTTCTCCTTCTCAAAAATTATGTCTCCGGTCTCAATCATGTCTTGAATTTTATATTTAAGTACCCAACAATTGGCAGTAGAATGTCCAGGAGCTCCAGAATCATAGGCACAAAAAGATTGAGGATCATAACCAGGGGGAACTCCTTTAATATAGATTTTAGGAGATATTGTACCAATTTTCCCCGCGGCTTTGAGCTGCTCATATAGTTGATCAAGGGGCCGACCTAGATTGGTAAAAGTTCTATATCGGGCCGGGTCTTGGGTGCCAGCGGTTCGTTGATAGTTGTTCTGGTTGACGGGTAAAGTGGATCTTGGGTGATAAGGAGGGCGAGATCTAGTTTGAAAGTTAGGTGGAGAAATATGAAATGGTGTAGTGGGTGTGTTTGGATAATTTGGTCGAGGTCGAGGGTGGTTAATGATGGTATGATAAACAGGTCAAAGGTGTGATTGGTACGGGTAATGGGATGAGTAGGTGGGGCTTTGTTGGTATCTAGGTCGGAAAGTAGGGCCTCGGTTCGAGACAAATGAAGCTTCCTCTTCTCTCTTTTTAAACGGGAATTTCTTGCTATTGCTGCCTTCACTTTGCATCGCTTCCAATTGCGATTTCAGAGCCGATATGTTAACAATCTTTCCTGCCCTCATAAACTCATCATATTCTTCCAATTTATTGACAATTTCGGCAAAGAAACACCCCGTCATTCGAAAGATTTCCTCAAAGTAAGGCGGGTCATGAGTTTTGATGAACGTATGAACAATCTCGTTTTCAGTCATAGGAGGCTCCACCTTGGCGGCCAATTTCTTCCATCTCTTCGCATATGTCTTATGGTCCTCCGATGGTTTCCTCTTAGTCCCCTCCAATGTGGTCCTCGTTGGAGCGAGCTCACAATTGTATTCATACTGCCTCATAAAAGCGGTTGACAAATCCATCCAAGATCTCATATTCTCAGGCATCAAATTGGAATACCAATCCAATGCGTCGCCTTCTAGACTCTCGGGAAATAAGCGCATAGGTAGATTCTCATCATCTATCGGCTTCCCTAGCTTGTTTGCAAACAACCGAAGGTGAGTCTTGGGATTCCCCGTTCCATCGTACTTGCTAAATTTGGGTACTTTGAAACCCGCTGACAATTGCATATTCGGAAATAGGCACAGCTCGTTGTAGTCCAAACCTCCTTGCTTGTTCAAACCTTGGTTTTTCTTTATAAACTCTTCAAACCGATCCAATCTCTTTAGCAAGTTCTTATCCACCGGCGCGGATGATTCCCCAACTTCAGCTTTTCCTTTGACGGCGGTATCTAGGGTAAATGGCTCAGCGGCAGAGTAATAATAGGGTCCCTGAGGTTCGAATGACATGCTCATAGCAATTGGCGGATAATTCTGGAGAATTTGGGCATGAGAGGGGTTAATTTGGATGTTAGGTGCATAAGTAAGTGGTGGGCCATGAGTGGGATAGGTAAAGGCCTCTTCAGATGGATTTATGACATGTGAAGTAACAGGAACTTGAGTATAAGGTAAGAGTATTGGTTGAGGTTCAAATTGGCCAGGGGGTAAGGGCTCATGTTGTTGCTCACTGCTAGCACCACCAGTGACCAATTGGTCGATCATGCGCCGTTGGGCCATCATGTCAACGCTTAGCTCATTAAATCGATTGAGAACTTCGTTCAGCTGAGCTCCCAGATTTGCCAAATCAGTTGATGATGTTGTTACGGGCCTATCAGATGGTTCTGGATGGGTACTCATGTTTACACTTTCTCTTGAAATTCGACTATGTGATCGGGTAATAATGGGGCTTCTTTGTGTAGCAATATTTGTGATTACTACCTAAGAGTATAAGAAAATCCTTATTAGATGCCCTTCTTGATTGACTGTTGTCAAAAAGAAAGAAAAAAGGAAAAGTAAAAGATAGGAGTTAGTAAAAATTAAAGTAATTCGGATGCATGTCCTATTGGGGAACCCTTTTAGTGCCAAGGGTAGGTCTAGCATGAGAATGCAATCCTCTGAGGTAGGCATTATACCATACCTGATGAATCCGATCAACTGATTGGGTGAAAAATGATTTGAAAAAATTTGACCAATTGGAGTGCGAAGAGATATTTGTCCTAAAACGAGGACAAAGTCCGAATGGATTGCTTTGTTTGATCAACACATAAAATGATGTGAGAAAGAGCCTACTCTTGATAGGATTGCAAGATTTAGATCGAAACCTTAGACCGAAACCCTAAGAGAGGAAGATTAGGTCAAATGGATAGAATGAAATTGATGATTTATTCAAAATTGACTAGATTACCTTAAAAAGGGTAAAATGGTCAAATGCATTGAATGAAATTTGATTATTTATTCAAAATTGAATGGATAACCCTAAAAATGAATTAAACTAACCAAATGAATTGAATGAAATCAATTGATCAAACAAATCGAGTGAAATGATGATTTATTCAAAATCGATCGAATTGTCCTAAAAATAGGTAAATTGGTCAAATGGATCGGACGAAATTGATAATTTATTCAAAATCGATAAGACTGCCCTAAGAATGGGTAAACCAATCAAATGAATTGAATAAAGTTGGTGATCTATTCAAAATCAACTAGATTGTCCTAAAAAAAGGGGTAAACTGGTCAAATGAATTCCAAATCGACTAGGTTGCCTTAAAAATGAACAAGTTGATAAAATGGACTGGATGAAATTAATGAATGAAATGGTCCAATGGATTGAATGGAATTAACAGCTTATTTAAGAAGCAATCTATCAACTGGTAGTTTCAAAAATTTATTGCGATGCATTGGTCTATGAGCCTTCTAAAATCAGATTTTGGTCTCAATTCATTTATCATCTCAATAGTGAGGAATTATTTGTGAATTTCTTCGAATTAATGTCCTTTACGCAAGGGATTTTTATCAATGTTGACAAAATGGCCAAAAGTGATTATTAGACGCTCATATTCCAATGTGCAAAAATTGCTTTGCCATTTTCGAAAAAATCGGATCCTACCTTACCTTGTGCACTACCCCTTTGGATGGTACAAAATATAAACGTGCAAGTCTCTTTGGATTAAGTATCCGAGACATAAGGTGATTTTATTCCTAACACGGGATCCCCTAAATGGCATTCCCTTTCTATGGTGGATGCATGATGCCATTTATTAAAGCGATGTAAATATGTGACAAATATGGCCTAAATGACATAAATAATACATCGGGGGGAAAAGGCCTAAAAATGAAATGTACTTATTGAAAATTAAGTGTAATAACTGAAATTTAAACATGTGAGTTATCTAGTGGGTAAGTCACTAAAAGAGAGCCAAAGAGGCCTCTTATTGCTAAAGCACATGAATGCAAGCAAAAAAAACAACGAAATGGTTAGTGCAATTGATAGTACACATAATATATTGGGAGCAATTAAGAAAAGAAATACAATAAAAGCATGTAAAAGGGGTGGAACCCTTTCCCTCGTGCCTAATGTGCTTAAAAAAGGGTGAGGCTGACTCTAACCTAGGAAAACTCTAACATGGATGCATGAGGCTGGGGCTCACTAATGCAACTAGACTCGATAAGGTTTAAAAAGGTCCCCGAGCCTTCAGACCTAAGGGAATGGGTCATCAATCCCAAGACCCTCGGTCGGTGACTCGAGCGATTCCCTAGGTACTGCTATGGGCGCAGAGCACACCATCCACATGCCTAGAGAAACCATTCCTAGTCCTACAAGGCGGTGTGGGAAAGAACCCACGAAAATAAAATAAAATGGAATAAAAGTAAATAAACGTGCACGTATGAAGTGTTCCCTATTTTGAGGGAAAGGGTTGAGACCCAACGCGAGGCTCTAAAGGTGACACACCCCCTCCCAAATGCAATGCAAAGCACGAGATAAAACAAGTAAAACATACATCCAAGCAATCAATCATACATACGCGAGTGAGGGAGTAGTTTGATATGCGCGCGAGGCAAAAGATCCTAAAATGGAAAATGCAACCCTAAATATCCAAATGCTACGCATAACAAGGGTAGAAAACGAAAAAGAATGGCTAAATCAAATGCTTGGACCCACTTAGGAGGTCCCCAGTGGAGTCGCCAAGCTGTCGCGCCCCACTTTTTGATAGTGTGAAAGTAGTGTGTAGGATAAGTATGTGAACGTGTGTGAAAGTGAAAATAAAAGGCCGTGGGATTGTGAAATACGATGGTTTGGCCACACAAAGGGTTTTAGATAGAAAAGAAGTCGCCACTTGGTATAGAGTTAGGGTGTACCAAGTCACCCAAAAAGTGATTTTGTTTTTTTCAAAAGAAAAGTAAACAAACCCTTTTTAAAGAATTTTTTAGATCTACGTAACCAAAGAAAGGGATCGGAGGTCACATTTGATAAGGGAGAAGGCAAAGGCAAAGCCTAAGGCACTCGCTTACCCTAGCCAAAGCTAGTTGCGTGACTTATCCCTTCTTTTCCTAATTCTTCTACCCAAAGTATGTGTTGCATGTTGGATATGACTAATGGATGCGAAAAAGGAAAAATGCAATCCTAAATCTAAAATGTCTCTTATGAGGCTTTTTGGTCCCAATCACATGAGTTGTGATGGCCAATAAGGAAAACTCTCATAGAGGTCACGGGTAATGCAAATGAAGACCAAAATATGAGTGTAGTGCTGCAAATGTAAGAAAAGCGTGCAAGTGTGCCAATTGAGAAAAATGAAGATGTATGTGTGCAAGTGGATAAAAATATGGTATAATATAAGTGCAATTGGGTGCAATTTGTGAGGTAGAAAAATAAATAAGTAATAGGGAAAGAAAAATGTGCAAACATGGCATGTGGATTGAGAAAAAATATAAGTAGTAAAAGAATGTGGATAAAGAAGGTGAGGAAGTGATATGATAAAAATGAGAGTGTATGAACCTAGAAGAATGCATCAAGTCGGGTACGGGAATGACTCCTAACTTTGTGATTTTAATTTTCCCTTTGATAGAGGGAATACAAGTGTGCTAAGGCTTAGAAAAGCCACACTCGTCTATATCCCATACTTAACGGGTTTTCCTAATCTAAGCAAGCAAATGATCTAACCTAATTCTAATGCTTATATGAAATGCAAGACTAATGTCATGTTTCATACAAAAGGAAGAAGTAATATACATATAAAGAAAAATATGGGAAACGGGGTGTACATATATAAGGAAAATGCCACGCAATATGGTGAAAGAGGCCCTAAAAAGTAAAGATATGCATGAGATGAAATGATTTATCACACAATCATGATCTAACGTGCGAAGGGCTCCTAAAGGCTAGCGTTGGACTAGCCTACATCTACGCTCTCTCACAAGCGTTGGACTTGCAAGAGCTCGAGGGGACAACCATGACTAGCGTTGGACTAGCCACGGTTATGTGCGTTGGCATCCATCGTACACATATATAAGTAAAGTGCATAATTAAAACAAGTAGACATGTGAGCACGTAATTCACATAACACATAAGCATGCATATCTAGATGCCAAAAACCTAAGAAAAGCGATTAAACACATAGCACCTAAGCATGCAAAACACATAAGGCAATTAAGACCCTAACTATTACATTTTAGGGTGAAAAGCCTACTACAATCTAAAAGGGGAAATGAGAAGGAATAAAACAATTAAATCCCTACCTATTACAATTTTGGAATGCGAGTGCCTTCAAATGATAACATTGAACTAAAATTAAAGCATAAACTAAGCAACTAAAGAAATGAATAAGGTGAAAAACGAAGTAAACACTTAAAGTCATGCAATTGCACACATAAGGCACATATGCGCACGTAGGGTCAAATAAAGTCAAAAAATAAAGGATAGAGTATACCTCCCTCGCAACGGTAACCAAATGAAGGAAAAATGGCTTCAAAACAATAAAAGGGTCAAGGCACCAATTAAATAGTAAAGTATAAACAAAAACAAATTCAACAAATCACCAAATTCCTCCCCATTTGCAGCTTAATCGCAACCCAACAACACATAGTTACGAAGAAGGTAAAATTTATCAATCAAATTTCCAAAGAAAGAGACTACTAAGGACCCAATAGCAAACATTTACCCATCGTTCAAGTCCAATTAAAATATTTTGGGAACTTCAAAGGTCCAAGAATAATAAAAGATCAAGTAATGGTTCAAAACGCAATTACTCTAGGACCTAATTGCAAGAAATTAGAACATGATTGGGCCATAGTGAAACAAGGAGAGACTTGAGGAGTTAGAATGAAAACTCCAAAAATTTCCATGCATGCATACGAGGAAGATTTCTGCAACTGAAGCTTTCTACAACAAAAATGAAGGTATGCTGCATTTTCATCTTCGACCATAGATTTCAGAAACTAACACAAACTTTGATCAAACTCTCTCAAACCAATGTCCAAACTTTGAATTAAACAACATAACACATAACTTTGACATTCAAACCAGTAAAACACAGAAAGAAATGATGCAAAATCATGGAAACTTTCATGCAAAGCAACGTAGGAACACATTCTGCAATAAAGTTTCAGCAAGCTATGAATCTTTCGGCAATTTCCAACTTTCTTGCTGCAGTTTTCTTAGCAATCTATTGAATACAGGTATTCATGCAACCTAACACAAGACTGGACATTTCCTAAACTAAACAGCCATAGCCATGGTAGTTCAAAAACAACAGCAAAAAGAAGAAAAATGCGGTCTGGCCGAATAGACAAAACTGCAGCAGAATTTCTGCTGTGAACTTTGCAGCTCATTTCATGCGGTTGGGTCCGTATAAAAACTCTAA